GCCTGTGAGCCGTTCCCTTTTCTTTTCCCTCCGCTGCCCTCACCGCTCCGCAGGACCGCCCGGCAGCTGCCAACAATGAGCTGTGTTTCTTAGGGCTTTGGCCACAGTTAATATAAGGATCTCTGGAAGGGCGGAGCGAGAGCCTCCCGTCGGCAAGCAAGAAGATGCGGATTCCGGAACTTGAGCGCCCTGGATCGGGTCCCCGAGCCGCGTCCGCGAGTCCGCGCCGCACGTGCGCAGAGGCTGCGCGCCCCGGCGCCGCCCTGAAGTTCCCGGGACTGTGGGCGTCTTTCTGACCCCCAAATGCGAGGTTGTGCCTGCCACCTCCGAGGCAAGGAGGTAATCCTCCAAGCCACCCAGTGCAAGGAAGCACTTACAGGAGAGAAACAAGGAGCACTCTCCGCCTTCCTCTGGCCAGATCTCCCCACCCCCCAGCTCGCTCACCCGGTTCACCTAGTGATCTGCCCTGCGCTCTACAGGAAAATGGGGGTTCGCTCGGCTCCCAGCCCTGCAGTTTTCTTGAGTGCAGAAGCCTCTCAGCCTGCGAATAATGATTTTGCTTTCCCGAGTTGGGGTTTTAAAGCCCCAGACCGACCCTGCCCTGTCCTCTGAGCGCGGTTTCCTGAGCCGCGCCTTTGTGTTTTTACACGGGCATCATGTAAACCTAACCGAGATATTTTCTGCGTGTGCCTGCGTTTCCCCGCCTCCACTCTTTTCAAGGACAGGGGCTGGGGGTGGGGAGCGGCAGCGGCTGCAGGTGGACCGACCGAGCGCGCTCACAGGCCGGGTCGGCTCAGCTCCCGCGTTCGGGGATCCGCTCCACTCTTTCTGGTCTGCTCCACGTTCCCGGAGTACGTGTGCTTCTGCTAAGTTTGCGTTTGCAGCTCTTGGTAGCTTTGGCATCCGAGCTGAGGCGTCCCTGCTCTGTAAACAAACTCAGCGATCCTAGTCCCCAGATCCACCTTTTTGCACATACACTGTTACTTGCTTCTGCTGTTGCCCTTGATCCAGGAGGTGGGGGTGTGTGCAAACTTGCACAGCCTCCCTCCGGGCTCTGCCTGACGGTTTGGGGTTGATTTAGAAGCAAATGGGTTTGTAATTAAGAAATTCGAGGGCTGAGTAAGGCTGCTGCTGCAGCAAAAGGAAAACAGATAGATAGCTTGGTAATCGCTTTGTAAATAAAGTCGTTTTGGAGGTGGGCACGTAGCGGCACGTCCTGTATGGCACGGTGCGCGCATACACTGCTAAGACTCTTCCTTTTCAGTGAAATTGTTCAGTGGAGCAATAGGCGGTGATAATAATAACCTTGCCTGCAGAACGAAGCACAACGAGCCCGATCGCCCATTTGGCTCATTGACTTGCAAATAAAACCCCTAACATTGGTCGGGTCCACTATCCAGTCGGAGCTCTGTTGCTTGGTTAGTTGTTTCCCCAATACCGGGATGAAGCTGCATGGAGCGTGTATTTCTCATTAAGTGGTGAGATCGAGTTTAGCGCTCCGAATAAGGACTTCTGTGTACAGTTGTTTCTTCATAACTTGATGTCCATGGAAGACTTCCTGCTGTAAAGAGCCAGCACCCCTCCCCCTTCCCGTTTCTTTTTCTCCCTTCTAGCTCCAGACTTTTTTTTTTTTAAGGCTGTATTTCTTGAGAACTGGAAATTCTGATACATTGCCTGCCTCATTCAGTAAATCTTTTTTTTTTTTTTTTTGCTTTACTTCTCTGTCTTCCTCTAGTTAGTCCTATTCAAATACCCCAAAACAACAAAACCCTCTGTCTTCCTCTCTACCCTTTTTCCAGGCTGTCCAGCATTTATAACCCTGTATGCAAATGATTGTGAAACCTCAAGAATGTTTACTTTTTGGAGAAGTGAGCAAGAGATATGGCTTTCAGTTATAACAATTCCCCTATTTTGTTCACCTCCTAATTTCTCCTATAGGTCACGAACATGAAGTTGAACAATCAAGAGGTTTGGAGATCAGAAGGGACACTTCCTATCAAAAAAATTTAAAAAAAAACTGCCAAACCAAGATTATTTTTTGAATAGATTGTTTACTTCCCTTCCTTATTGTGCAGTGTCTTGCGACATAAGGAACAGCTTTTGAATGTCTAATCTAAATTCCTCTTGCAGCCATTAAGGGAAGGTACCCCACCATCCAGCGCCAGCGTTTCTACAGACTGTTAGGCAATCCCCAGAAAGGTCACTTGCCCATCCCCCACCACTAAAAGGAAAAATAAATACTTCTGGGTCCAGCTGGATGGGATGCAAGATGCATTGCTCATTTAGTCTCCCAATGCATGTTCTTCAGGTGCCAGGCACTTCTTAGTACCCTAAGATATAAACAAGACAGGAACTCACGGTTACAAAGAGACCTCTGATAATCAGGCATTGGATACACGCCCCACCCCCTCCCCACCTCCGACCCTCCAGCTCCCCCGCAGCACTGTCACCCCAGAGCACACAAGAGGGATACCATATCCTGTCTCAGAGACATTGGGAGGCTTCCTGGTGGACATGGTAAACTAGTTAAGGCTTCGGGATGACTAAAAGTTTGACCACAGGGACAATGAGTTACTGCAAAGATGAGAGAAACAAACTGGAGAGAACGCGTTGCAGTTGGATCCTAAGGGCCAGTGATTCCAGGCTGAGAATTCTGATTGGGTCCGAAAGACATGGAGGCGTGGGAGCCAGCTTATCAGTTTATGAGGTAGTATGGTGGAGGATGGTTTGAGAAATGAAGACTGACTACAGGGCGTCCAGGTAGGGGGAAATTATTGGGAACACAGGAAGTTCCCTGGGGTTTCTCTTGGAAGCCTGGGGAGGCGTGGCCCGTTTCTGATTGTCAGCATTAGTTGGTTGTATTAGTTTTCTAGGACTGACATAACAGAACACCACACTTAAGCAACAAAACGTGATTGTCTGACACATACTAGGGAGCCAGAAGTCCACAATCAAGAGTTGGCAGGATTGGTCCTGTCTGTCTTGTGTCTGGCAACACTTCGTGGTTTCTGCCCTCATCTTTGCATAGCATTTTCCTGCATATGTGTTTCTCCGCCCTCCAGCCCCCATAAGGACATCAGTTGTACTGGATTAGGCCTATCCTAAAGGACCTCATCCTGTGTTCGAATCAGATCACATTCTGAGTGAACCCCTGCTTTTCAGAAAGGCTTCATCCAACCTTGCCCCGGTGAAGAATGAAGAGATTGAAAGATCCCTGCGGATCGGGAAAGAAACTCCCTCGAGTTATCTTCCCAGACACTCAGATGGCCCTTGTCCTCGTTTCTGTGTCTCTGCTCAAATTCCACCCCAGGGGTCTTGCTCAGTATCCTACCCAAAGGACAATGTCCCTTTTTGTTCCCTTTCCTCATCGCACTTTACTTTTCTTCTTAGTGTTTGTTCCCATCCGATATGCTACACAGTAAATAAACTGTTAGCTGCCTTCCCCGACTAGAAAGAAGGCTCCAAGAGAGCAGAGAGACCAGGATGTTTTGCTCGTGGTAGACTGAGTCAACGCTCCATGTTCACCAACAATGAAGGAATTAGTGAATGCAGGAATCAGTGAATGAAGATTGACACGTGGCATAGCTCCCCGGGGAACCAAAATGAAAGGTGAGGGACGATTTTTCTAGAGATTGCTGTTAAGGCTGGAGGCAAAAAAAAAACAAAAAACAAAAAACAAAAAACAATGGAGAGCTGCAGATGTAGCTTAATTGGTAGAATACTTAACTTAGCTAGCACAAAACAAAGCTGGAAGTCCAACCCCCAAACTTTGTAAACAAAGTGGGGGTGCATTCCCTACACTTGGGAATGTATCAGGAGTTCAAGGTCATCCTTGGCTAAATAAAAAGTTTGAGGCCAGCCTGAGCTCTGTGAGACCCTAGCTGAACAAGACAAAACAACAACATTCCAGTGGAACAGAACAGCTGCTCACCACAGTGTGAACTTTGGCCTGTCTTTCACTTAAGCAATACTGTCAACCATTTCAGGGAGATGGCTCACCAAGGGCTCACTGGCTACTTGTAATTGACTAGGATCAGGTCCCCCAATGGTGTGACTTTTTGACTGGCACAGAGCTTCTAAGTGTGAGCCTCCAGGTTAAGCTAAAACCTGAGCTCAGAAACAACAACAAAACACTAGTGTGAAAAACTTATTCTTGAGTGTGTGGTGGGGGTGGGGTGAGATCCAAGGCAATGCTTTCTGCTTTACCTAATTATCTCACTTAATCCTTAAAAAGTAGGTGTGTTTGTGTGTGTGTGTGTGTGTGTGTGTGTGTGTGTGTGTGTGTGTGTGTTCTAAGGAGGACTGTAAGTTTCAAAGAGGTTTAAGAAAATGAAAACAAAATAACAACAACAAAATGGTGACTTGCTGAAGCTTTTCTGATAAGGATGGAGCA